GAGAAGTAGAGAAAGGATATTTCCCAAAGTTTCTGAGGAGAAAGAAGGTGGCAAAGTTATTATTTCTAAATACTCTGAGAAACATCTTACAAAAGGGAGGGAAGCGTGGACAGGGCTTCATTAGTAACTCCTGTCTGAGGACAGGACAGTGGAGTGACAATTCAGTAATGGGGCTGATCCGTTGGGCTTTTAGAACAAAAACTAAAAGCTCTATAAAACCAGTAGGATTGGCTTAAATACTATTGTTAGTCATCTGTTAGGAAGGTTTTCTTTTCTTTTCTTTTTTGATTATAATTTCTTTAATCTTTGCTCTAGAGTTTATGTCCTTTATTATTTCTGCTAGATATAAGCTCTAATTTAACTTCTAAATATCTAGTTAAATTTAATTTCACTAAATTAAGAGTTGCATAGTCTGGGAACTGTGGGGTTTGATTCGCTACTTTACTCATTTGTTTAGACACTTGACACAATAGAACTCTACACAGCTAATTCCAATAGTCCAAAAAGAAAAAAAAATTAACACGTATTTAAAGGTTAGCTTTGCCCCTGTAACCACATCTTGGAGAAGGCACTCGTAAATAATCATGTGCCACGTAAAATTATTTAAAAGTATCTCTTCAGCTTAATAGAGAGGATCAAGAAAGTCAGCTCTCTGAAGTATCAATATTCCTGCCTCACTGGTAAGCTGGGATATTTCTCTAGATAAATAAGAATGGAACTTATTTTCCTGAAAGATTGAAGTAATTAAGGCAAAAATAAATTACCTGGATCAGTGGTTCTCAATCCTCTATGCTCATTAGAATTCTCCAGGGAGGTTTGAAAAACGACAGATCCAGGTCCACACCTAACCAGCTATAACAAGGAGTGGGCCCTGGCATTCTCCTTTTTCAGCTTCTAATTCATAGCTAAGCATTGAACACAGATTTAGGCAGTTAAAAGCACCCAATTTAAATCAATCAATAAAACTCTGTGAATTTGAGGCAAATATATTATTGCTTCAGTGTCACTTGTGCTTACCAGTGCACTTGGTTGCTCGTAATTTTAAATGGAAACCTTTTCAGAATAGCGATAAGGACCTTCACAGACCATAGCCAACATACTTTTTAGGTTCTACACAGTTCAATCTTGTCGAACTTAAAGCACCCAACCATTCTCTACATTTTTATTCCTCCACTTTTATAAGTGTTTGTTTTCTTTTGGTCAGATATGAACCTCTTGCCATAGTTGGTGGAGAGCCACTTATTCTGTAAAGATCAGATTAAAAGTCATCCCTCCTGTGATACAGGCTCAATGCATTATTTTATATGAAGTGGGTTTCTATAGATTTACGTTACACGTTTCCTGAAGAGACAAAGTCACATTATCCAGTGATAAATGTACAGTTAATACATATCTCTTCAAATTGCATCTATTCAGGTATTTAGATTTATTGCTTAGTAATTTCAATGTCATATTTAACCTAGAGGAGGCATTTAATTTAGAATTATTTCTCATGGAGTTATGTTTTGAACAGTTTCAGCCTTCAATAGTTTATTCCGACCACTTGAATCATTTTAAGGAAGATTACATATTACTTTTTTTGCTTATTAAAATGGGACTATTCAGACTTTAGAGATACTTAAAATATTAAAATACAATTGTTCTTCTGATGTGCTACCTTTTCACATTTGGTTATAGTATGCATTTTGAAGGGGAAATAAGTGGAGATCATTTTTTCTCTCCATCCCTTTCTACTGTGAGGTCCCAGGAAGCCAGTTGGCCAGCTCCTTGATATCTGATAGCTCTCTAAGAAGACTTTTCATGAGGATCAGCATTTTCCCCAAGACAGGAGTCATGAATTCTCTTCTTCCTAAAGATGAACATATCCTTTAAAAGGATCCAGAACATTTCCTGCAAAACTGCCTTTCTCATATGAGCACTATTAGAGCTACTGCCAAAAAGGCTAAGGCTAGAAAGCCACCCTTCCACAACAGAAAAAAAAAAAACTACCCTGAACTTGAACATCATTAGTAAGCTTATAAACCAGAAGGAGTAACATTTTAAATGAAAAAAAAAATTTTTTTTTAAAGTAAAGTCTTATCCTGTCATTTCTTGAATTTTCCTATTTCTTGACGCTGGAATTTTGTGAAATATACAGATAGAAGAACATTTGTGCTAATATCCTGACCTTAAACTTTCTTTAAATCAAGAAGGTGGTTAGTCTCTCAAAGCGGTTGGCCACAGAGTCCGAAATGATATGGCTGTATTTATATCTGGTAGTACAGCAGTAACGTTCCTGGTGTAACTTCAGGGTTACCAGGAAAAATTCCTGCACTGTTTTTAGGCCAGAATCCATGATGCCCAGTAACGCCCTGCCTGTGGGAACTGATTATTTCTCCTGAAGCCTTCATTGATCCTGACCTTAGATTTTCCATCAAACTCAATGGGGGCTGAGGCTGCTGGCAATACCCCTGCTGGGTGCGGACTGCAGGCCTACCACTGGAGGGCGTCTGGACGCTTCCAAACTGCTCCGAAGCGCCTGGAAATACCCAGCCGGGTCTGGATAGTACAGGACTGAGAATAAGGTATTTGATTTTATTCGTCTAATAAGTAAAAGGGAAAAGACGCAGTATTGGGGGGGCCCTAAACTGCTTTATTTTGGGGGTTCAGCTCCCCTCTCCCCTCGGCAGTACACTCACTAGAGAGCAAAAAATAAATGCAAGGTTGCTGGTCCCGCAGCGCCCCGCCTGGGGCTCACTGCCAGGGCGCAGGGCCGCAGAGGGACAGGTCTTGAAGCGCTAGGGCTGCCTCGCTGCCAGGAACTCCAGTTCTGCTGGCCTCGGAGGACCCGGGCGTTGCAACCTGTCCTAGGAGTCCAGGAACGCGTGGCCTTTTTCAGTAATAAAGACGTCCTTTCCCCCCTTGCTTTGCATACCCGGTTAGTGCAAGGCATTTTGTGTGTGTGTGTGTGTGTGTGTGTGTGTGTGTGTGTGTGTGTGTGTGTGTGCGCGTGTGTGCAGCGAATCAGCCCCAGGATCAAAATGGAAAAGGTGTAAAGTACTTCTGATGGACTCGCGTGCTGCATTCATTTCCTCACTGGCGAAGAAGGTTCGCACTGAACTGTAATCACTTTAAAATGAGATTTTCCAAAACGCGCTTTCAGAGCATTACTTTAAAGAAGTCTTGTTTCTGTCCCCAAACCTTTAAATCTGGGGTAAGAAGAGGGGTTGAAAGGTACAGAAGAGATGCTCATATTTCCAGACAGCCCAGCGCCGGGCACCGTGCGCCACGAAGGACAGAGCCGAAATTTACAGGAGCCCGGATTCACCTAGGGCCGCTCCAGCCGGTCAGTGGGGACTTCAGGTCACCTGAGCGGTCCCACAGACAGACCTCCGCTGTCCTAGAGGAGGAACCAGTTTCTCTTAAATCGAAAGATCCCTCTCCCGAGTCAGAAAGATGCCAAATCACTCCAGCCCAGGCGCACTTTGGCATCCAAAGGGTTACGCGTGGCTGCGGGCCCAGCGGCAGAGAGGGTGCCTCGGCACTCTCAGTAATTCAATTAGTCAGGTTTCTGGAAGGTGGGGCGGGGGTGGGGGTGGAGGCGTGGGGAGGGAGGAGATTAGGAAAACGCCTCTTTCTCGTGGAGCAAACCAATCCGGTTGGAGTTAAGAGAGAGAGAGGAAAAAAAGAAAAACCCGATCTGTAAGCAAACAGCAGGCCTCTCCCTGACTGGTCGCTCCAATCACCCCCCTACCTTCCAAATAAACTGCTTGGAGGAGAAGGGAGGGAAAAAAAGGAAAAGGCAGCCCACATGACTTGGTCCCCGGCGGCAGCGCACGCTGGGCGCGGGCTGGCGGCGCCTCCCCCTGCTCGGCCGGGAGCTCACACCCGCGACGTCTGCCAACCCCGCGCCCAGCGCAACACGCCCGGGCGGAACCCCCGCCCACGTCCACGTCCACGCGTGCGGCCTGGCGCGGTGCTGAGGCTGCTGCCGCTCCAACCGCCCCGGCTGTCGGCTTTACACGCAGGTCATTAACGAGGGGGCGTGCCCGAGATTTTTCCCATAAAGCATTTTTTCTCTCCTTTTTTTTTTTTCCCTCTTTTGCAAAACTGACTTTTACCCCACTCTACTTCTCGCCAGTCTTCCAGTCTCTCCGGGGCTGCTCGTGCTGCTGCTGCACTCAAGTTTATTTTCCCGCCTGGGTAGGGATTTTAGGCTTCGGTTGGTGGTTTTCACCGCTTGCCATTGCTGAGCCTAAGAAGGGAAAGAGGAGTAGTTGCGGGAGGATTGAGGAGGTTTCCTGATGTAGTCATCGGGGAAGTACCACTCGCTCGTGCCCCCCCCCCCACCCGTTTCAAACTGATTGATGAATTTCTTCAAGTCTATAGGCTTGGGGCGGGCCCGGTCGGAGTGACAGGGACACTTTTGAGAGCTCCCCGGGGCTCCTGGCACGCCGCGTGGGGGCTCAGCGCGCTCCCGGAAGGCGATCGAAGACTGACAGCCCGTGCAGGAGTTGGAGGGATCCATTTGAAAGTGATTGTTTGCCCTCCCGCTCGTCTGCACAGCAGTTGGGTTGGCGTCGTCCTGCAGGTTTGTGCATCCCAGCTCCGCCTGACTGGCTGGTTCACAACCTCTGCTCCTCATTCACTCTGCTGTACCTACAGCGGGCCAAGAAAAGCACGCAAGAGAAATCCCCGGGACTCAGCCAGCGCCCGGGGTGCCATCTCTCGCTGCCGCTGCGGTCCGACTCCACTTGGGGACCTGCTGGAAGACGCGGAGAGCCAAACTTTTCTTTAAGGTTTTCGAGGCGACACCACTCCTCCGCTCCGCGCCAGGGCAGCTGCCGCCTAAGCAGTTCCAGGACGCCCACGGTGCGGGGTTTGCGGCTCCGGATCCCCACCCTTCTCTGCGCACCTCCGTGTACCGCAGTACCTAGGACTCCTCCGAGACTTCGGTCGCCGGGCGAAGGCACCGGGAGAGACTAGGGACGGCTTTGCGACTCCGGGGGCCACCGCCGTGAAGCCCCCCGTCTACACAGCGCCCTCCTCCTGCAGTTTGGCACCGGCCGCCAAAGTAACTTGGAGCAGAGCGGGGTGCACCGGGAGACTAGGGCCCTGGGCAGCGGCGGAACCCTGCGCAGATCGCGGCGCCCACGCTGAGCCGGGCCCGGAGGGCCGGTGTATGTCTCCCCGCGGCCGCGGCGCTCCATTCCCGGTGACTGTGCAGCGCGCGCCGCCGCCTGCCCCGACCCGCGCTGCCGCCGCCCGGCCCCGCACGCACCTCCCTCTCCCGGGGTGATCAGCCTGCGGCCGCCGCCCGACACACAGCTCCGCACCTCTTCCCCCGCCCTCGCCGCCGCCACCACACACACGCACGCTTCTCTCCATCTTGTGATTCCTGTTCCCTCCCGAACCTTCAGTGGGGGTGCGAGTTTGTCCCCCCTTACCCCCTCCCCCCGCCCCCGTCCCCCACACCGCCTTCTTCTCTTCTCGCTCTCCTGCTCCTCCCGAGCTTGCTGCGCTCCTCTTGCAGGCTCGTCCCCTTCATTTTATTTATTCGTATTTATTGGGCGCCCGTTCTCTTCTGTCTGTCCCTATCCCTCCCTCCCTCTGGATCCCCGCTCTCTCCCCGGAGTGGCGCGTCGGGGGCTCCGCCGCTGGCCAGGCGTGATGTTGCACGTGGAGATGTTGACGCTGCTGTTTCTGGTGCTCTGGATGTGTGTGTTCAGCCAGGACCCGGGTTCCAAAGTCGTCGCCGACCGCTACGCTGTCTATTGGAACAGCAGCAACCCCAGGTAAGGTGGCGGAGGGCGGAGAGCAGGGGCTCCCCCGGCCTCCGGGCCCGGAGCGGGGAGCGGCGGCGGCGGGGAGCGGCGTGCACAGTGGCGGCCAGCGCGCACCCGGAGCCTGCAGACGCCGTTGCCGGGCCGGCAGGAAGCGGTCGCCTCACGGCCGCTCTTTGTTAAGCTGCCGCCGAAGGCCGGCTGCTCCCGGGAATCCTCAGGGCTGCGGGAGACTCGGAAAAGGGCGGGAGCCAGAGACTGGGGACTTGGCTTCCCAAGCGGAGTGGACTGGCCGGCATCCCTATCCCGGCTCAGGGCTTGGGTGCCGGGAGCCCCGGGTGTGAACCGCCCTCAGCACCCCTGAGCGTGGGTGCGCGGAGATTGGGCAGAGAACCCGCTCAACAGCCCCAAAGTTTTTTTTTTTTTTTAATTTAAAAAAATTCTTTTTCTTCCCGGTGCGTGCAGAGAGAGTGCAAGCTAGAAGAAAGGAGAGCGGCCGGGGGGGGGTGGGGGGGGGGAAACGGAAACATCAGGTTTAAAATTTTCTCTTTATGAGAAAATTGTTCGGTCCCCGAGTGGGTCTGGGCCCGGCGCGCTTGGCAGTGGGGCAGGATTCTCCTGCACCCTCCTCTCCCAGTGGCCTTAAGGTGCCAGAAAGTTTGATCTAATGCCGGGTTACGTCATGAGTGCGGAGCGAGCTTCTGGAGCCGGCGAGTCGGAAGGTGGGAGCCCTGCGCCCCGGGCCTGGAGGTGCGCAGCCGGAGGGACGCGCTCACCTGGAACCCCGAAACCCGCGACCCCGAAGCCCGCCCCGGATGCGCAAGGCTGGAGCTGGGCGCCCCGGACCGCCCCAAGCGCACGTGCTGGGGTCCCAGCCAGCCGTACATATCCTGTGGTCTTGGTCCCTGGAACAGGGAGGAGGGTGGTCCAGAGTGCCAGGCAGCTCCTTCCCGGTCCCGAGCAGTTCCAAACCGTACTTTCTCCCCGGGTTTGTACCCAGCAGTCGGGCCCACTGGGCCCACATCGCCCTGCTTCTTTGGGACGCAGGCCAGCTTTCAGCTGTGGGCTGGGGTGGTGCCCTTCTGGGAGAGAAACAGTATCAGATACACCTAGCATCACAGGTTTTTCTCTGGGCTGAAGTGGAAGTTGGGAGGAAAGAGGCGGGAGGCCCAGGACTGAGCCTGTGGCTGCTACGCGCCTAACGCACCGGGCGAGGGGGCCGGCGGACACCTTCAATTCAATTTCTCACCCGCCCGCTCCAACGCCCCCAGTTTTCCTTCCATATGAATTCTCCAGGCTTCTCGACTTGACTAGGGTCAGTCAGCTCTGATGAAGATAAGCAGATTTCCCCTGGAGCGGTCCATGGGTCGCCCATCCTAGAAAATTCACCCCACCCTACTAATCCAACTCAGGCACACCCGTTTACCAAAGTCCTAAACGCACCCCTTAGCAGAAGTGGAGACATCCCTGAAAGTTTCCTTTCTTAATAAAAAGGGTGTCATGGAGGTGGGTATTTCTTCTTAGGCATGCCACTTACCACTGTTAAGAAAAAGAGAAAGAGACACTCTGCCAGAAACTATGCCTTTTATTAATGCTGACAAGCCACACTGAGCAAGCTTTCCAGTGCAATGGTGTCAAAAGCAAGTTTAATTATGTTGCTTGGTTTTATTCCCCTTTGGACTTTAATAGACAGCATATATGGAATATGAGTGCATATTTTTTAACTTCATTGTTTTATTTAATAAATAGTAGAGCCTATTATTTGACTCTTGGTTGTCACTCAGAAATTCAGTGTGATCTTTTCGTCCTGGCATTCATTTATTAGAAAGGTGGGGGCTGCAGTCTCCCCTGGGTTAAAACAGAAAGAGCCAGCAGCATTCCTAATTGACACCCCCCTTTTTCACTTGTCAAGCTAGTATCATTCAGTTTAGGACATTTTATCTCAGTTTTATGTACCTCAGTTTTTTTGATACCATTGTTTGGTTTGAGATTAGCAAATTGATTTTTGTCACAGGTCATGTTTTTTAATAGATCCACCCTGCCTAAAGAAAACTCTTTCTCTCAGGATGTCACGGTAGCTTTGAACCTACTCAAAGTTATAGGCTGGAGACTTTTAAAATACCAATAGTATTCTTAAACCAGTATGCAAATGTGAAGACTTTGGAAATACTTTTCTCTTTGATCTTTATCAGTTTGGTAACATCCTAAAGAAAGAGTGATGTAGCCCCCTCACCCTAAGCAATTTAGCTTCAATATTTAGTATACTTAGGGGTTTACGGAGGCATTTATCTTGGCATCTTGTTACAGTATAACTCACTTTGAAAATAGTATTTTTAAAAAGTAGATAGTGCCAAGCAGCTTTAATTCAGCATTGTTGAGTGCAATGGTACTTTTTTTATGCATAAGGAAAAGTCAATTTCATGCAGATTAAAAGGGACCAAATTCAAAATAAGTAATTTCAAAATAAAAACCACTACTTTATCACAAATAATAGGAGATATTTTATAGAATTTGCATGGGTTTACTAAATAGTAAACTGTTGTATACCTCTGTTTCATACACAGTATGATTTTGTAAAGTAAATTAACCCTGACTTTTGGTCTTCTGTAGATTATGTCAAGATTTTGTTAAACTAGTAATATAATCAAGAGATTTCAAGCTTTTGAAAATAAGTAGACAATATTAATTGCAACTTAAATATATTCTTTTTCTCTTAGAAGAAAACTTTAGTGGACATATTAGACCAATAAGAATGGATAATTTGTGTAAATGAAGTAACTATAATATATACCAGTAGATTCCAGTTGAAATTACTTAGGTTGACATAGAATGAACTACATCTTGATCATAGGCATTAGGCATCTTATTCTGTAACTTGCTGAAAGTAACTTCTGTGGCAGATAGGATTTTATCAGCTACATTTAGCCTCATTACTGACTTACCATTCATAACATAGGTGTCTATAAATCTATTATTACAGGACGATATAAAACATTCTGATAGAATTGTTTTACTGTTAGAATCTGTGTTCAGGTTCTTCACTTCTGGGAAGTGGATGTTCAGGTTTTAAATGCTGCTAACTTTTTAGTTGCCAGTATTTATTAGGTAGTGACCCAAGTTGATTTTATGCATTGTATTGGCACAAATTCGTGAACTAGCAACTGCGAACTATCAGTCCAAATACAAATACTCTTTGGTAACATTTGCACACCTGTAGCCTTCACATTTCTAAAATTTAAAGACTTGCATGAGTTTTACTTAAAAGTGGAAAAGATCCTCTTACTGTCGTTTTGCATTCTAAGTGGAATGTTACTAAGTAATTTTGCACAATGAAAATCCAACTGAAAGAGAACATACCTTTGACCTTAATTTAAAGCCATAGAAAGCTTTTAAGGAATTTTAAAAGAAGACTTTTAGTAATAAAAACCTTATTTACATTCTTCTTTAGTAGCTTATAAATCTTTATGCTTATAAAGATTGACATGATTTTATATTAAGAACACGTCTCTCAACCTGAAGACTGCTATAGACAGTTTGATGTCCCCAACAAGAATATTCTCTTAAGCACTGCGTGTATGTATACTGAAAAATTGCTCTTGGATTGTTCTATTTGCCCAATCATCTCTTCCGAATTGCATTGTGGATGAGGCAGTAAAATTATATGGTTGCAGTTATAACCAGTACACTTTTAGTAGTACTGATTAGTCTCATTCTGTGATTTGCTTTTGCTAAGGCTTGAGTACTGTCACTTTAAAAGGTTGTTCTCCTAACATAAGAAATACCCTGTTCATTCTTGAAGAGTTTACTAAGCTTAGTAAGTTTTCTTTGGACTTTTTCAGTTCTTTAGGAACTTGTAAATTAAGTATCTCATATAAGATTAGTAGGTAAGTGACACTATTTGGTTTTGTCATTATGTAAATCTTAGAGCTGTGAAAGTGATGAAAATTCTAGGTTAGCACTCCCAAGTCTTTCTGACAGTATAGGTTGTATACATGGGATTCAGTAGAGAGATGCACTAATATTTTTTTCTAAGAATATTACCTTGGGTATTTTTCTTTTAAAATTCAGTTGGTTCATTTTTTAAGAAATCTGAGACATTATTATTTTGATAAATGAATGCCAGAACACTGGCAGAACACTGGCACTGTGCCTTTTTCAGTGACAAATAAATGAAATCATCAAGGCTTAAATCTAGGAATTACTTGTGAGGCAAGATTAAAAAGCTTATTTTTGTTTTCAATGAATTTTATTACTAAACTTGTAAAGGATTTCCTTTATTTTTGAAGTTTTAAATATTTGAAATAATGCTTTCATATGTTATAAACATAAATCTTCTTTAAATAAGACATCATGTAAAATCTTTAACTCTGAGCTTCAGTGCAATACACCATTTTATTAGATGCACTGGGATAATTTCATCATTTTGATATTTATATCACAATTTACAAAACACCAGGATAAATTCAAGCAGTACAGCTTAGATTAATCTCCCATGTCTTTATGTGTATCTATTTATGGGGGATCTATAGTATGCACCCTGCTCTCCTTTTAAATCTAGAAATTTGTGAAAGAGAAATACGCTTCTTATTTGTTGGATAGTTTCTCCTGGAGTTCTAAAAAGCAAAGCCAACTACTGAGCTGTTATTTCCCAGCCATTGTCTATATTATCTTATACATTTGTAATAAACTATCAGAAAGAGTAAGCTGTCTGCTGTCTAGGTGACTGGCACCTCAGTGCTGTGTGAGCACTCTTGGCTGTACAGGCTCACTTGGCATTTAGAATATGAAACCAGTATCAATAACTATTAGTGATTAAAGGTATCAGAGAGAGTCTTTAGTAGTTCATTATTTTCTCTTATGTGATTTTAGTGGTATTAACTAGGCCATTGGCTCAGGGAACTAATATCTAATTGTCATGTACATTGTAGCTGATAAACAGTGGCTTTAGAGCATTCCACCTTCGAAAACTGAGGACCAGGTTTAGAAGGAACACTTAGTTATTTGGGGGTAAA